ACGCTCTTCTCCCTGCGAACCAGCCTGAGGTGTTTCAATAATAAATAAAGCTTTGTACTGACAAACTTCCTAGTCGATTAACATATATTAAAAGTTCAATGTTTTCCTATAATATGCGTGCGCTTCCAATAAATCACGACAAAGTGTGAAAACTAGCTGCTGCATTTCAGTCAGAAAGCTCTAGATTGACGCTCCTGAGTCACTGAAGTCATTGAAGAAGTCAATCAAATAACGTAGAGTGAATCTCGAGGATTCAGATCAGTTCGCTGTCCGCCGGCTGACGCAAGCGCGCTTTGGTTCCTGTAAACGGTTCCTCGGAGGACTCGCTGTGCTCTGTCCCGCTTTCCTGCTCGACGCCGGCTGCAGAACACAGTTGTGTTGAAGTGAACCTTATTTTTAAAGCTTCTTTAGCGAGCTCTGAGGTCACGTGAGCGTCGTCGCGCGCTGCTTCGTGTCAAGTCAGCAGATGTTGATTAAGTTGAGTGTGGACATGTAAATGAAAAGCAAAAAGCAAAAGTCAAGAAAAGCAAAGTCACAACAAGCATTGTAAGGCGGAAGCGTGACGTCGCTCCATTCATCATCACAGCTGCTGTGAGTGTAGGGCTCGAGCTACATTTAAATGGCATTCATAAATGTAAATATGGGGGAAATCCCTGTTGAAAAAAACAGCATATGCTGGTTAGGTATGTTTTGACGCTGGGATGCTGGTTTAAGCTGGTCCTTTGCCAGCACATGACCAGCATAAACCAGCAAAGGACCAGCTTAAACCAGCAAATGACCAGCTTAAACCAGCAAAGGAGCGGCATAAACCAGCAAAGGACCAGCATAAACCAGCAAAGGACCAGCTTAAACCAGCAAATGACCAGCTTAAACCAGCAAAGGAGCGGCATAAACCAGCAAAGGACCAGCATAAACCAGCAAAGGACCAGCTTAAACCAGCAAATGACCAGCTTAAACCAGCAAAGGAGCGGCATAAACCAGCAAAGGACCAGCATAAACCAGCAAAGGACCAGCTTAAACCAGCAAATGACCAGCTTAAACCAGCAAAGGAGCGGCATAAACCAGCAAAGGACCAGCATAAACCAGCAAAGGACCAGCTTAAACCAGCAAATGACCAGCTTAAACCAGCAAAGGAGCGGCATAAACCAGCAAAGGACCAGCATAAACCAGCAAAGGACCAGCTTAAACCAGCAAATGACCAGCTTAAACCAGCAAAGGAGCGGCATAAACCAGCAAAGGACCAGCATAAACCAGCAAAGGACCAGCTTAAACCAGCAAATGACCAGCTTAAACCAGCAAAGGAGCGGCATAAACCAGCAAAGGACCAGCATAAACCAGCAAAGGACCAGCTTAAACCAGCAAATGACCAGCTTAAACCAGCAAAGGAGCGGCATAAACCAGCAAAGGACCAGCATAAACCAGCAAAGGACCAGCTTAAACCAGCAAATGACCAGCTTAAACCAGCAAAGGAGCGGCATAAACCAGCAAAGGACCAGCATAAACCAGCAAAGGACCAGCTTAAACCAGCAAATGACCAGCTTAAACCAGCAAAGGAGCGGCATAAACCAGCAAAGGACCAGCATAAACCAGCAAAGGACCAGCTTAAACCAGCAAATGACCAGCTTAAACCAGCAAAGGAGCGGCATAAACCAGCAAAGGACCAGCATAAACCAGCAAAGGACCAGCTTAAACCAGCAAATGACCAGCTTAAACCAGCAAAGGAGCGGCATAAACCAGCAAAGGACCAGCATAAACCAGCAAAGGACCAGCTTAAACCAGCAAATGACCAGCTTAAACCAGCAAAGGAGCGGCATAAACCAGCAAAGGACCAGCATAAACCAGCAAAGGACCAGCTTAAACCAGCAAATGACCAGCTTAAACCAGCAAAGGAGCGGCATAAACCAGCAAAGGACCAGCATAAACCAGCAAAGGACCAGCTTAAACCAGCAAATGACCAGCTTAAACCAGCAAAGGAGCGGCATAAACCAGCAAAGGACCAGCATAAACCAGCAAAGGACCAGCTTAAACCAGCATCCCAGCGTCAAAACATACCAGCATATGCTGGTTTTTTCAACAGGGATAAGCCTTTGTTTTCTGAGTTTAGAAATTCAACAGTGCCTGTTCAACAGTAGACTAGCTAAAACTATTAATTTGGATAGAAATAAGAAAGCTGTATTTTCTGTAAACATTTAGTTTTTATTTCATTTATTTTATTCTTAAAATCGTAATCAAAAGATACATTTAAATGGTCGTGGAGATTAATTAACTGGTAATCATTTGAAATAATATAGATATGATAATGTGTCTGGTTATTTTGCATTCTATGTTTACTAACGCTTGATTTTTATTAAAATTAAAAGATTTAAACGTTTTCTTTTTGTTATTTGAAGGTCACATTAAAAGTTACAAAGAGTGTATTCATCATCAATTATTTCTATATTCAATAGTTCATTTCGGTATTTCAGTATACACTAGGCCTACCTGTCAAAACATCAAAACTTTGTGGTCTGTAAGATTTTTAAAAATGTTTTTTTAAAGAAGTCTCTTATGCTCATTAAAGCTGCATTTTTATGATACAAAATACAGTAAAAACAGTAATATTGTGAAACATTATTACAATTCAATAATAACTGTATAAATGCATTTTAAAATGTAATATATTCCCTGTGATTGCAAAGCTGAATTTAAATGTCAAATGTCACATGATCCTTCCGAAATCATTCTAATATGCTGATTTGGTGTTCATGAAACATTTTACCAAATAGCATTTAGATGATTTCTAAAAAAATTAAGCTTTGCCATCACAAGAATAAAATACACTTTAAAATATATTAACATAGAAAACAGTTCTTTTAAATTGTAATAAGGATAACAACGTTTTTGTCTTTGTGAGAAATTCAAAAATACTAAAAAATGTAAATTCCACCACAGAATGTTGGAAGAAACAATACATTACTTACAATCTAAGAAGAATGTAAAAAATAAATAAATAAAATCTGACTGGTCCGTTAAAATGACCTTGAACAGCAATAGCAAAAATGGCTCAGTGGAATTAATTTAGTTTAGAGAAAAGCTCTAGCATTGTTTGTTTACAGACTGCTACTTGGTTTGATATTTTACTACAACAATAATATTTAGATATTTTTAAGTTTATAAATACTTAATGGACCCACTGTAATGTTGATTTGTCAGTGCACTCACAAACCACAATATTTGCTGCATGGTAAACAGCACTGACTGTGACCTTTGAGTGAGAACGTGAGCGAGGGCAGGAACACTGAACAGGCTAAAGATCACAGTGTTTGTGAGAGAGAGAGGCAGATTAGAGGAGACTGGATAAAGATAAGATGAAAAGCCATTGGTTAGACTTTAATCTGTGTGAAGTAACAGATCAACAAAAGCCCAATGCCCCACCACTCATTATGCCATTGTAAACACATCTAGAGTTAAGATGAAATAATAAAATCATGCAGTATTGTGATACACAACATATTTCTTGTGAAAGCTACTCCAGGGTTCTTGTATAGTTTATGGGGGTTCAAATCGAATGTATATTGAGGGTGGTGAACTGTTGAAATGTATTCGTATTAGTTACATTTTTACTCTTTAAAATGATTTTTTTGAAGTTGTAAATAAAACAAACATTATTGGAGTGTGTTTTTACCAAAAAAAAAATTGTGAAAAAATTTACTAGCAATTTCTGAGATTGTTTGGTAATGAAAATTGTATTGTAATGCATAATGAATTTGTTAAATGACTGTGCTTGTGATATCAAGGATCATTCTTACGTTCGTTCAATAACACACACACTCTATGTTTGATGAGAAAAAAGAACTCTGCCCTTTGGACTGTGCAAAAACAAAAACATGCATTGCATGGGTCATTTCAACCAATAATTACTATAACCACATGAAATATATCAAAAATAACATATGCACATTGAATATGTTCCTGAAAGAAATGGTTCATCCAAAAATGAAAACCTGCTTACCTTATACTTATAAACAGCTAATAAAAACATCACAATAATCCACAAGTGAAAACAGTTCTAAACAAATATGTTGGTGTATTTTGACGTGAGAAGACAACAGGGGATGGTCTTTTTCACTGGAGTAAGTATTGTTATGGATTATGAACTCATATTTTGACCAGAAGAAATGATTTAAAGTTAAAATGCCTTAATGGTGGATTTGTTTCTCACAGACATGCAGATTTTCACTTCAAAAGATGTTGTTTGGTGGACTGGAGTCGTGTGGATTACTGTAATGTTTTTATCAGCTGTTTCTGACGGCACCCATACACTGCAAAGGATCCATTGATGAGCAAGTGATGTAATGCTAAATTTCTCCAAATCTGTTCTGATGAAGACACAAACTCATCTACATCTTAGATGGCCTGAGGGTGAGTAGATTTTCAGCAAATTTGATTTTTTTAAGGTGAACTATTCCTTTAATTCAGTTTGACAAGATCAAGGAGACATGTTCAGTCCTTTGATATGCAAGCAAGCCCTAAACAGTGGTATTCTGTTTCATCAGTGGATATCTATGATGGAATGAGCGGAAAGTCAATGAATAAACAGTGTTTCAATGATTAGATCTAGTGGTCTGCACATAATTGCAGTGTACTCTGGTATTTGTATTATGGGAAACAGCATGCAGTGTTCTCTTTCTCTTTCCTTAGGCGTTGCCTCTGTCTTTTGTTGATACCATAAAGCAACCTTTAGGAATAAATTAGGCAGTCTCTTGCATAAAGTATTGCACAGACTACTGTTTTTCTCTGTCGGTTGTAAATGCAGTGGTGCTCATGTCTTCTAGGCCTTTGAACAACTGATGTAACTGATCGGAACATGATACATGTGGTAAGCCTTTGCTTTGGCAGCATATGAATGTGTTCATATGAGAACATTTTGAGAGCAAGATCAATAAAGATATTTAGGGGGTGGACTAATTGGTTAACAATATGGCAAAATAATGTTTTGACACAGTGAGTTCAAATAAATGTTCCAAATTTTGTTTAAACTTTCATTTTCAAAAATGTATTACACAATTTAATAAAGTTGCAAACAAATCAGCAACACTAAGGCCACAGGTTCAATTCCCAAGTAACACACAAACTTGAATATATAAGAAGATACAAGATACACAAAGAAGATACAATAAATATTGTATAGGACAATGGCGCCATCAGTCCCGTTCAGTGATTTTAGTTTTGGGTTAAGCCAAAAATCGCAGGGTGCCAAATCTGGGCTGCGGAGGGATAGAGGTTTACCCGAGCATTGCAATTCATTCACTTTCGCAAATGGCTTTCCCAATTCATTTATGCGCACGCGCGCAGCTTAGAGGGAACATTGGTCCTGAACCTGAATGACTCCACTGTTGCTCAGTGCTGTTCATGATGGTGAGTGCAGGAGAGTTTCTCCTGAATTCCACTAACATCTCCACTGTTTTGAACATGTTCAGCTCTAGGTTGTTGTGACCGCACAACAGGAAGCTGGTGATCCGCAGACGGGTGGAGATGGGCACAGAGAGCTGGGTTCATTTGTAGGGGAGGAGGTTAGGGATGATGGTGTTGAAGGCCATGCTGAAGTCCACAAACAGGATCCTCACATACTGTAAGACCCTGGTTTGTCCAGACGCTGCAGGATATAGTGCAGTCTCATGTTGACTGCATCATCCACAGACCTGTTTGCTCAGTAAACAAACTGCAGGGGGTCCAGCAGGGGTTGAGTGATGTCCTTCAGGTTGGCCAACACTAGTCTTTCAGATGACGTCATGACCACATATGTTAAGGCAACAGGTCTGTAGTCATTAAGTCCTGTGATTTTGGGTTTCTTTGGGATGGGGATGATGGTTGTTGAGCCTTTGAAGCAGGAAGGGACGTCGCACAACTCCAGTAATCTATTGAAGATCTGTGTGAAGATAGGGGCCTGCTGGTCAGCACAGGATTTCAGACAGAGTGGTGAAACAACGTCTGCGCCTGGTGCTTTCTCTCATCTCGTATTTTGCATATGTCTGAACTGGACAGCCCTCAAATGTATATATTTTAATGATAAAATATAGAAAAAACATATGAGCCCGGTTTCTCCCAAAGTTTTTTTCCATTTCTGTCACCGATGGAGTTTTGGTTCCTTGCCACTGTTGCCTTTGGCTTGCTTGGTTGGGGACACCTAATATTTGGCAGTATTGTTGACTTGATTGCAGACACTATTGGAAGAGAACTGAACTGAGCTGGATGATGACATCACTAAATGAACAATGAACTGACTTGAACTGAAAAGCTGGCTTGTTTTCTATTGTCCTTTTGCATTATCAACACACCTTTTTCCTGTTTAACACTGTAAAACTGCTTTGACACAATCTGTATTGTAGCCTATAAAGTGCTATATATAAAGGTGTCTTGACTCACTCGACATTATTATATTATATTAATTATATTATATTATATTATATTATATATCTATTACCCCAAACTAAATAACAACGAAACAGATTATATTTTGTATAAAGAAAATTTGCCTATATTTTTTACCATTATATATTTACCATAACGGTAAAAATATA